AAAGGATTGATGAGATGCCATGTTATTGAGGAAGTAGTTGTTTTTGCGCATAAATGAAAGAAGTTGCTCGCCCACCTGGCTATTCAATGAACCCTGAAGTTCTGGCACCAGGTTGATCCTCCTCAACACTTCCTGTGGGTCTTTGGTATTGGCCTCATGGAATTTGTCATACAAGACATAGTGGTCTGGGGAACCAGTGCATGGATGCCCATCTTTCTCAGGAATCTGCAACATTTCAGTCAGCCATGGTAGGGAGATCTTGAGTTTGTTCTGCTGAGCTGCTGTGATGTTTTTGTAAACTTCAAACTGTACACCACACCATGCGGGCAGAGAATCACTGTCAATGGAAAATTGAAAAAGAAAAAGTTTAATAGTAAATGTGCAAGTAGCGTATCTTAGGTAGTTATCATGCAGTTAAGTGTGACCCTTACCAGATGCTCCCCAGATTTTCTGGAATATCTTGTTGTATGAGTGTCGTGTCTTCATCTCTTGCCTAAATCTAAGAATCAGATCCATCCGCGATCCCTTCACATCCAAATTACAGGCCTTGCACAGCTTACGCACAGTTGAAACCTTTTGAAATACAGACAAGAAATAAAGTAAGATGTTACTGTACAGTGCAACTCAAACAAACATACATGTATACACAACAGCTGTACCTTCTTCTTCATGAGCTCATCCACCAGGCGGTCCTCTGACACCATGCTGACTTCAGCTTCAGTGGAGGACATAGCAGAGGATGCTTTTTCAAATTCTGTGTTTAACGCCATCTCAGATTGACGTGTATTCTTTCCAATCCATGGGCCCCAGTACTCAAAACTAGGTCTTACACTGAAGCTGTTCTTCGCACGACCTGTGAAAAATACAAGAAACATTCTTAATATGCTAAAGTGCATTGCATCATTAAGTGAGGGTAATTACTAATTTATGGAAAAGTGAATATGTACATACTTTGGACAAAGCCACGAGAAATCATCTCCAGCTGTACAGAGTCCTAGAACTCTTCAATGTTAACTTCACCAGTGAAGTTCTCTGGGGCATCTTTAATGTAAATCACTGAAAAAAGTAATTTAACTAGTTTCGAATATACAATGATATAACTCCCTCCCAACACACAAGACACTGACTTACCAGGGAAGTTGAACACTCCTTTTTTGTGTAGGTCCATGACAACTACTGAAGGATAGTAGCCACAGCAAACACAAGAAAAGAGTAATCATGGCTTGTCAATACCTCAAAGTGGCACTAGGCATGCAGAACTGTATCTCTGGCAGGAATTGTCATCTTCCTTCAAGTGCATTTAATACCTTGGATACTGAGACGTTGTTCTACAGAAGTGGCAAAAACAAAACAAAAAAACATGTTATGCAAGATTTATACAGACAAATATACCCACACACATTTAAATATTTGTCATAAAGAAATATACTGTACATACCTGTAGTTTAAGTCTCAGGTATACACACAGTTCAAGGGTCAATACAGTATGGTCATCGAAGTTATGTAGACCGTCCTGCCATTCCTGGTATCTATAGGTCATATGACACACTGGACATCGCCGGAAATAGGTTGATACATCTGGTGTAAATAAATCATGAATATATCATTAACACTGTGCTACATTCTCTGCAAATTCCATAATAGCAGGCAAAACACAAATTACTTACTTTCAATTACCCCATTCATGGCAATTATTCTGGCTTTTCTGGAGATCCTTGCTGACTTTTCAAGATTCACAGGTCCTGGACAGAGTGCACAAACTGTCTCTGCTGGATGCAACTCTGTAACATAGTCTGTGAGTGCTCTTGGTTTTACAACATCATCTGGCAGGTTAGCTGGAAGATTTTTATGCCTGTATATATACTTTACAAGTCCTTTGAAGACTTCTGCTGATGGTGGATAGACAGTATCTATCTTGGTGCTTTTTTGGTGTACTGTTGCTGGTTTCTCCTGTTCTGAACACACACTCGGTTCGTTTAAAATAAATGCCATTTGATGATGTTTCTGTGGACACATGACATCCTTGGTTTGGCACAAGGGCAATGCCATGTGTTTGCTGATGAATTGTATGTTACAAATATCCTCCCGAGGTGTCTGTAATAGTGCAAAGTTGGCTCATGGACTGAAAAACAAAAGTGCTTTGAGCTTTCCTGAAATGACACCTCAACACAGAGAGGGACATGTGCTGCCTGTGCATATTTTTGCCTTTTAATGCAGGTTGACTTTTTTGAATCACCAAAAAAAAAAAAAAAGTGCACCATTTCTGTTAACATATCTTCTCTGAGGCATTCTTCAGTGGCTATGTCTGTGCAGTATTGCAAAGAGCGGATGTGTTCACAGTGTGTAAAAGTTAATCCACTTTGTGATGCCATTTTGGAGTACTGTTTGCATTCCTCCAACTCACACTGAACCTTGTGTACTCGGCCCCAGGTTTTGTCTTGTACATGTATGGGGATTGAAAAGCCATGCCCTCCTTTTTGGACTGCAGAAATCCCATTTTTGGCATCCACACAGACACTCTTTAAATGATCGGTTTCTGTTACATCCTTTTTTGGGGTGCTTCCTCCGCATGTGTTTGGCCAAGTTTTTCCTAAAACAAGTAACTGAACAGAGGGGGACTCAACAGAAGAGGAAACCAAAGGAGATGACGATGGCATGTGTGTGTCTGCTGAGGAGTGGATGGTAGATGTTTGAATCGATTGTTGCACGAGAAGGTCTGGAGATGGGGCTATAATGGTTGGTGGAAGCAGAGGAATGGATGCAGCAGATGGACTTGGTTGCAGGGAGGGCAAGGATGAATCCTCACTCGGATTGGACTGGCCGCAGCTGAGGTGGATGTTTGTTGTATGGCACAAGACTTTACGTGTGCTTCCATGTCTGTCCTTCTAATGATAGTTTCCTCACAAATAGGACAATGATAATGTTCCCCATTCCTGCAGTTCAAATTGCAGCGGCAGATCTACTTATCTAAGAGCAAGTCAAGAAAATGTTTATATTAGACAATGACAAACAAGTCACATGAACACACCACACACATCTGTGAGTGTGTGCACGTATGTATCTTTAATCTAAAATGCAATGGCATTACCTTCAAATGTAATGGCATTTTTGATGTGGACCTCCAAATGCCACTGAATTCTGCCTGGTTTGCTCGGTTTAAGGATGTCTTTGGGACAAAGGGGGCAGTGGAACTGACTGCAGCATGTTGTGCAGCGTTCCACTGCAGGTATTCCACCCGATGAAATAACTGAAGGATGCATCTAAAAAGCACATAAAATGCATCATGTGTTTGAATTATAGTACATGAACTTCAATTCAAATGAATGTATACAGCCTGCAAACTTAGATTGTCTTTGCTTACAGGTAAAATGGCCACTTGCACCAGGTAGTGTAAATGAGGCCTTACTTATGTAGAAGAAATAATAATGACTACAAAAGTATTTACTTAAGTGAAAGTGGATAAAAACTTAAGTAATTTAATGTTAATGCTTATGATGAGAATACATCCTGACATAATAGAAAACTTGAAGCTAAGTAAGTGTCCGTCCATATCAAAAATAAAGCACTGAATGGTCAGAAGCACTACACTACAGGCTTATTTTCGTTTTGTTTGTATACTTGTAGTATACAAACAGAGGTGGAAAAAATAAAAGAAGTAAAATATGCCATGTAGTTCTGCACATTTTGATTCCACTTGTGCCTTACACAGGTGATATCATAATTACGCCATGACCTCTGGCAAAACATCCTGGTGTGTTGGCATAATGTTGGTAAGCTTGGCTGTCTCACATATAGTTTTTGGTTCAGAAAGACACGTTTTCAACTTTGGTGACTATGCCACCTAATGCAAGAAGAGTTTCAAAAATGTTTTATACATTACTACAAGACAAATGGGCGAAAGTTACTTTATGCACTAAAAGTTTAAGCACTTAGGTGTTGGATCTAACTCCTATGGTGAAAGTTATATTTGAAGTATCTAACTTAGCTTCAAACTCCGCAGAGATGACCCGATGAGGAGGGCGCTTG